AAAATTCCACATAATGCAAAAACTCGGTCCCCCACAAAACCCGATCCCTAGCCTCTCGCCCATGAAGCGTCACGCTTACCACTACACCGAGCCGCCGTTGGGGAGTTAGCTGCTTCCATGTAATTTAAGTTTTCTAATGTAAAGTCACCTAGAACCACCCTCATAACTCCGTTCAGACAATCGCTTGGCAGATTTGGAAAGCGGATTCGAATTCAGCGTCCAAAAACACGTCTAGCAATAAAGGTCTTATTTCAAAAGGCCACTTCGAGTTGGGATCCTTCCCTGGTAAGACCAGTACTAAAACAGCGTACTGATGGAAGTAATGAAGCGCTGACCCGACTGCGTTTCTGAGACATCTCGTAGTCCTTTCAGCAGGACGCTACTCCAGTCCACAGGACTAAGCTTGCCCGCGAGTGGTGCCGACGACAGCTGCCCGACTTCATTGGTGAAGAGGGATGGTTATCCTACTTTCCACAACTTGACTCACTTGACCTAACGAATGGTTCCTGGTTAGAAGAGAACCTGTCGAGTTTGCAGTCCCAGTTTGGAGTCCTAGAATGCAAAGGCTGAAGAATGGCTGGGAAGAAATGGAGGAGGATACCTGCGTGCCACAGGCGATCAAGTCGAGAGCAAGCTTGGACTTCTATCCGCGCTTATAGATGATATTTTCAAAGGCGACTGTAGCATCTTGTAGCACATAGTGTTAGCTAGCCTGCACAGAGATTCCATCGTCTTTCGCCTCTGAGAAGTTTGAAATATATTGCTATAAATCGGCGCCAATAATTTTGGGACACCCTGTATATTCAGAAGATATATATATATATGTATATATATAGTAGCGGCCAAGAGTCTTCAGTGAAACGCTTTTCCAATCGTAACTTTTTTCCTAGTAGAGGGTTTCAAAAAAATTTCTGATATGCCGAACCTCACCTTAAACCGAACCAGTTATACTTTTTGGCTTCAAAACGGGGAAATTAGATAACTACGCGCAGAGGTTCTACGGCAGAAGCGATTTTTCCTAAATGCGAGGTTAACGACAACTGCATTTTTTGCATCCCTTTTGTGCTAGACTTTAGTACTTGTACACTAAGGCATGCTAGTCACTCAGAGAATTCGGCTGGCAGCAGCAGAGATGAAGGAATCGGGCGTGAAAGTCACGATCACTTCAAGAATTTTGAAGGACCTACCGCAGCTCTGTTTGCAATGCTTAAAGAACGGGAAGACTCCGATGTGCTTTATCATCCTAGGGCAGACGAATCACACTTCGATCGAGGGCTGACCCTCGCCTCACTGCGGCTGGCATTGCCGCTGTGTTCAGCGGTAGCAACATTGCTTACCGGCAGATTGTATGAAGACCCCTAAACAGTGCTGGTAGTTATGGGAGGCGTCCGACCATAAAGCCGTTCATCAGTTCAAAAAGTAGGAAAACTAGGGTGGAGTTTGTGCCCTGTCATCTCAATTGGACGTCGACTCAATGCAGCAGAGTTCCCTCTACAGATCGGCGCAAGTTCATTTGGTTGGGAAGCGATGGTATACGCTGCGTACGATGTCCATTTGAGGAAAGGTTCAATGCAAATACACTCTACCCACAAGTAAACATGGTGGAGGAAGTGTGTTGGTATGCGGTGCCTTGTCCTCAAACGGACCCTATTTTGAAAATTCGAAGTCACGATGACAGGAGAGTAGTACAAGAACATGACGGTCGACATCGTCTTGCCATAGGCACAGCATCACATGCCAGCAGGATAGTTCCTGCAGCAGCGTATTGATCCGAAACACTTCTCAATAGTTGTGAAGGCGGCCTTCAGCGAACAGCGAACCCCCGGAGAGGTCCAGCCAGTTATCGGATCCGAAACAAATAGAGCACATATGGGAAAGCTCAAAAGGCGTTTCTCGAGTAAATTTTATGAAAACATCGAAGAAAAATTTGCTTGATAAGCAAAGAATGGAATGCCATGCCAGTGTCTACCGTTCAAAAACTAATCGACTCGATGTCTTCCTATTGCGATGCTATCATCAGAAGTCGAGGCTTTCCTACCAAATATCGATGTTTTTGATGTCTTACATGTTTCTATTCCGAAATAAAGCGGTTTTTATTAGGTCGATGCTATCTGAAGATGAGTTGAACTTCACTAACGTAACGTGAACAATAGCAAATAGCCGTTTATAATCACACTTCGCGATAATTCAGTGGGCGGGTATCTCAATGACGTGTCCGCCTCTTATTCGATGTCACGTTAGACTGTCTGACGTGCATCAAACGAGAGGCGGACACGTCATTGACATACCCGCTCACTGAATTATCGCGATCTGTGCCTTTAAGAACGTCAGTATTCTTGATATGCCTTTGATTAACATTCTAAAATTTCATGTGATTTTATGAAGTAGGAAAAAAGTTACAATTGAAAAAGTGTTTCACCGAAGATTTTAGGCCACTACTGCACATATTTATGGATTGCTCAAAGAAGCAAAGTTACCAACCGGTTTTCATCCCAACTTAAAGGCACAGTTCACTACTATCCGAGCCTCTTTAAGTCAAGAAGCGGGAAAGCGGTCGGAAATCGGTAGTGACAAAAGCGAGAAAGCCCGCCAATTTCGAGAAAAATGGGGCTCCTCAAAAGTAGGATAATAAAGGTTGGACGAAATTACCATGACGGAAATAATATGAGAGGGATGTTCGGGTTTGACCAATGCAGAGGAAGATACTGATAAGAAGGTCAGCATATAAAAAGCATTAAAGCGCTGTAATAATATTACTGGTAGAAAGGAACCGCCCAAACTGAGGGACATCTGGAGGCCTACAAAATTCACTTTCCCCTTATCAAATTTTCCCATTCTCCAATGCTCGCTTCCCCGAAAGTGCGCATTCACCCTGATGCAAATAATATTGAAAACGGTGTCGCAGTATAAAAGATGTAAGGAGCGGAGATTAGATTTTGAAGAGCGTGAAGCGGGAAACAGTACGTAATGGGATTTGAAGCGTAGGGCTCGATTTTGACGAGTCTACGTAGACATCAAACAGCGGTCCAGATGCATTACAATTCGGGAAGTGGTTAGGATGCATTATCCGTTCCAGAGCGACGACACACAGAGCTTATGGATTTGACTTACTCCTTAGGAACAGGAAAATATACTAAAGACATTTGTGAGTTCCCAAATAAACCTACCTCTCTGGATGTTCTTAGAGAATTTTGCCGCAGTCCTGCTATCACGCCAATGTGCTGATAACTATGGCGTAGACGGAAAACATAATTCGTCTTGGCGAAAAAACAAAAAATAAACCATAGAAGAGCAGAGCAATGAAGCCACTTCCCACACCTCACTAATGATTATATGCTATCCATTTCGACGTGCGGCGTGTAAGCCTGTCCTCTTTTCAGTTTTTTAAAAATTGTCAGTATTTCAGCCTGTGCTCCAATATAATCTTTCGGTAATTTCCAGTTATGCGAGGCTTATATTGACCGGCTTGCCCTGCCACGTGCTTTCGTCTTACCATCAGATGTCGGCTTGTATGGTCTGAAAGCTCTCGCCAACATTTTTTTACTGTTCGATGGAATTTTGCTTGGAGCTTTCCTTATCCTTTTCAGTTACATAACAAATATTTGTATGTAACTCCAACGGCACGTCTGCATGTCCACACTGCTAAGAGTGCGCTTTCCCCNCCCCCCCCCCCCCCCCCACGTGTTAGAGCCTGGCAAACTACACAAGGATATTCATGTGCCAAAAACAGTAATGAAAAAGGGCCTCTTTCCCCTGATGCTGGGGGGAGGCGACACGGCAGCGTTGGGGGCCGACACCGCTCAGCAGAGGCTGCTAAAATCTCAGGGCCACGACAGGCTGCCTAAAAGGAGAATGACCAAGATGGCGAGCTGTACTTTCAATGCACGAACGCTTGCATCGGAAGGTGCATCGAAGATTCGATGATACAACGCAGAAAGACCAAGAACGACGTCATCGAGCTGACCGAGACGAGAAGGCATCGCACGCTGCACGCCGTAGTCGAGATTAGAGAGCTGTTCCTTGGAACATGCGGCAGTAGAGGCGTCAGAGATGCAGATGTCTTCAACAATGCAGTTGGCCATGAACATCGATCCACATAAAAGCTATCACGCCGACGAGGAATGGTACAGCATCCGTCCTGACAGGATCAAAGCGGAACATCTGAAGAGCCTTGCGCCAGTCATTGTCAAAACCCTGGCCCGGTTTTTCATGCGGTCCCTGTCGGAATGCATAGTGCGCACGAGGAAAACGTTCGTGGAAAGCTGGGAAGAACGTGTTTCTGTATAAGAAGGGAGATCCAGACGACATTGGCAATTATCGATCAATTTGTCTGCTGTCTGTTAACTATAAACTTTTCAAACGAGTCATCCTTAACAAGACTGGCAGGTTGTTAGATGAAGGACAGCCATGCGAGCAAGCAGGGTTTGAAGAGTTCAGTACAGTCGATCACATCCACACCGCTACAAGACTCGCTTAAGTACAATGGGAGTACAAAATGCCGTTATGTCTTAGTTCGTCGATTGAAGAAAGCATTTGATACCGTCAAAACAGAAGCGGTAATCGAAGCTCGGGGCAACTAGGATGTTCCTATTCGATATATAAGATGTATATGAACGCGAATAGAGGTGTTCGGTAGGGCGGTACCATTTTGCCTTAGCTTTTCAGCGCCGCTCTCGAGAATATCATGCATCATATGGAATCAGAAGGCATGGTAGCAAAGGCCGACGGCCGCTACTCACATCATATCCGCTTTGCAGACGACACCGTACTCATAACACCGAACATCGAGCAGGCGGAACAAATGCTGGCCGAGTTCGACAACGCTTGTGGAGAGGTCGGATTACGTCTGAACCTAACGAAGACTTGTTCATGAAAACAGAATGGTTCCTAATGCTCCTTTCACTCTGAACCGAACAGATATCTCTGAGTGCCCTAGCTACGTGTGACTAGGTCGGGAAATTAACATGATGAATGACCTGACTCCAGGCCTGAGCAGATTGTAACACATCGCGTGAGTAGCATTCAAGAATATCGAGGGGGTAGTGAACAAGACAGAACATCCGGCTCCGCGCTCATCTTCTTGACACTGTTGTCTTTCCTGCTTTGACGTACCCCTCGGAGACTTAGACTCTAGAGGGGCACTGGGCAAAACTTCCTTTCGTTCAGAGCTTTCGTGTAGAAGCCTGACCATCTCGTTGGCGGCAGTCCTGGTGTTCGCTTGACGTCCCGATGGATCTAGTCCGTAACCGCCCTGGTCCAACGGTCATCACTATATCGCATAACGTCTTGGCGCATTCAACGGCATCCCTGATCTTCGTTCATCGGCAGAGCTTGGTACTCCGGATTCCCTTCTGCACTTGCGTGTATAGAGGAACTCCGAGAACCGTCCTCTCCACAGCACGTTGAATGACGCTAACTGCATACTCATCCTGCTTCCGTAGAGTCCAAATCTCTGAGGCGTATGTCAAAGCAGGAAGGACCGCAGTATCGAAAAGGTGAGCGCGGAGCCGGATGTTCTTCGTTCTCTTCACTACTCCCTCAATATTGTTGAATGCTCCCCACGCGGCGCGTTTCCTTCTGCACAGCTCCGGAGCTAGGTCGTTCATCATGTTGACCTCCCGACCCAGATACACATAGCTAGAGCACTCTCTACGGATCTCCTTCGTGAAGTTCTCTTTCACTGAAGAATCCCCAACCGGCTAGCGATGAGGCTACGTAGGGCGTCCCCAGGTGGCGGATAGGGGAATTGATCGCCGAC